AACTTTGTAATGTACTTAATTTTCACAGTTACACACACGATAGTTCACAACAATTCACTCACTTTCTATCGCACTTAGCTTAATTGTCCGTCCCCGCAAACTATAGTTCCGATCTCTGTGTCTGCTATCCTCAGTTCCTGCCGACCGTAATCTCTGTCTTTCTTTCTCTCTGCCTACTTCATCTCCGCTACGTCTCTGCCCCCGTCTCACTGTCTAGCGTCCTTATATACGATAATACTGCCTGTTTTAGAAACTTCTAAGACTCTCAACACGTACTACCTGCGTCACTTGACTCCCGCTGTCGTAACACACTAGCGAATCTTCTAGAATACTCGTCACGTGACCCCCGCTGTCGTAACACTGCCCATTCCTTAGTATTGTTCGTCCCGAACAATAGCCACTTACATTAAACCAATAAACAATTAACAATAACTTAATTAAATGTACAGAATTTACAAACACAAAATTAAAATTCAACAAAGTCTTTTCATTTTTCGGGACGTATCTTCTTCCGCACTGGTCTCTGTCTTGTTGGCTTCTGCTTCACGTGGGGTTCATCTGATTCATCAGGAAACATCCTATCATTGGTAACAGTCACATCAGTAATAGTAACTTCATCGAGGTCTTCACTGTTTCCCTTCTCAAAACCGAATAGAGTTTCTTCTTCGACAGTGGCTTTTTCAGGTGACACGTCTTCAGCAGCATTATTTGTTCCATTGTTCACTTCATCCCAACTGAAATGTCCTGTACCGTGATAACGCCAAAGCCTGTTGGCATGCACCACCTTTGGCTTACCTTGCTGACCACATTTTATCCAGAAAGTCACGTCTGAGAGACGATCCCCTATGTCATATGGGCCTTCCCATGGAGAAGACAACTTAGGAGACTTCCCTTTGGTCTTCCTGGGATTATACAACCACACCTTGTCTCCTGGTACAAAGATAACTTCAGTAGATCTCTTATCATAAGATAACTTCATCGAATCAGAAGACGTTTTCACGTTTGAGCGCACTTGATGGTGAATATCATTCATCCTTTCTGTTAACACTTTCACAAACTCTGACACATTTTCAGGAAACTCTTCATAAGGTGGGTGTCCTGTTAACAGACCCACTGGTAACCGAAGTTCCCGACCAAACATCAACTTTGCTGGAGTGTATCCAGTGGTTTCATGCTCCGCTGTCCTATAGGCCATCAGCAGTGGAGGTGGTAAGACATCCCAGTCATCTTGGCAACTATTACAAAACTTTGCCAATTCCTGTCCCAGTGTCCAGTTGTACTTTTCTACCATCCCATCGGACTGTGGGTGAAGTGGCATTGTTCTGGTCTTTTGGATGCCAAACAACTTGCAGCATTCTTAGAACACAGCTGATTCAAAGTTACGGCCTTGATCTGAATG